GCTCCAAACAATAGTACAAATGTTCCCACTGCACATTCAGCTTTATGGTAGCGACTGCTGTTTAATTTGGTTATGAGCTGGTCTGACTACTGTCAAGGTTTACTCTGCTCATTCTGCTGACTCTTATCTACACACTCTGCTGTGTGTTTTTCCACCTGTAGGGAGCAGCTGGGGGTTAGGTCTTTTGTACAGTCAAGTCATCAGAGCTCATGTTTCTGAAGGAAGTTATAAAGATTTATGCTATACAAGTCTGTCTGCATGATCCTAGAAGTAATGCATGCAGCTAGATGACCCACAGTTAACTGCATGAACAACAATGCATCTGTCCTGGTGTGCTGTGTCTGTGGTAGTTCCTGATGTGCAAGCGCAAGCTGGAGAGTAAGAAAGAGGCCCTGCTCATTCTGTCCAAAGAGCTGGACACCTGCCAGCAGGAGAGAGACCAGTACAAGCTGATGGCCAACCAGCTGCGGGAGCGCCACCAGGGCCTGAAGAAGAAGTACAGGGAGCTCATCGTGAGTGCTTCAAACCTTTACGGTCATGTTTAGTTTTCATCAACATGGACCTTAATGTCTAAAGGCACCAACCAAGTATCGGCCTGGTACATGTGATCTCTGATGAAGCACTGAGCAAGATACATGGCAGTCTGTATCAATATGCACAATATAGAAATGATCTTTTATTTGATGATGAAAACATTTATTAATGTCAGTTTTTTCACATTTTAGGATGGTGACCCCTCGTTGCCACCAGAAAAACGCAATCAGGCAAGTGGCTGTGGATGTCATGGGCGTATTGTCTTCGTTGTGTCACAGTGTACATTTGGTGTGGTTAAATGAAACTGTTTCTGCCTTTGTTGTGTTGTTTCTCATCAAATACACAGTGTGGTGTTTTCAAGGACTTTGTGACAATGACAGTTGCTACCAGACAGGCTTCTAATATGAAGGAGTCTTGTTAAGACTTGGCATGTTCAGTGTCTCAGATACAGTACACATACAGTGTGTATTTCATTTGTTTACATAAAGAAATCTTTAAAATCACAGTGTCAATAATTATTTATGAATTAATACTCAGAGGCGAACCTGCTCTGGGTGTAATACAAGTCAGAAAACCTCCATTTCCAAGCTCACCCGGATCCTTAGTCTTCATTCTTGCAGTGTTTTGAATCTGAAAATGTGTTCAGTGTGGTTTTGATGATGCACAACCTATTCTTGTTGCACAGCTGTTCCTGTATGTTAACAGTTATTGGGAGCGGGTGAAACAGCTCACCGAGGAGGTGAAGGAGCTGACTCAGAGGCTTGTGGAGGCCCAGGGGGATAACAAGGTGAGGCTACCACCAGCAACAGCAGCAGCAGCACACACATAATTTAGTGCACATGTGACTTTACCCCTCACTCAGTCTAGTGGATGTATCAGGATTCATTACATCAGAGAGAAGCAGTGACTTTAAGATGCTTCTTCTGCAGCTCCTGAGGATGACCATTACTCGACAGAGGCTGGGGGATGAGGAGGTGGGGGCGCGCCACTTTCCTGCCCATGAACGTGAGGATCTGGTTCGCCAGCTAGAGAGAGCAGGGCTACAGGTTCATACATTTCTGTTTTTCATCCAAAACCAAGAACACCACCTCAAAGTGAGACGATTTCACATCACCTTCACACGTGTCAGGTGCAGGTACCGTGACGACAAAGGTCAACTTCAGTTTCCCAAAACACCAACACTTAAAGTTCATTTTGGTTTTCAGCCTTTTCTCATCGTGAACAGCTTTAAACATGCAATAACATGTCCCTGGTTGCTACTAGTATCAGTACCGTCTCTGCTCTAAACAGTAGATGAGGTTTCACAGTGGGGAACACCTACTTGGCTGAATGCTGAAACAGTGACTGCATGCTCAGCAAACTTGGAGCAAACAAAGGTTTAAAATGTGTGTCACTTAAATCTTTCACTTTTCTTACCTGGCTGTTTAGATGGAGGAGATGGAGCACAACGTGAAGGCTCTGACAGACGAGCTGCAGGACGTGAAGGCGGAACGCAACGTGTTCAGGGAGAAGGCAGACCGACTCAATGTGGAGCTCAACCACATCCTGGGGAACCATGAGGCGCGCATCATCGATGTGGACGCGCTGTGCATGGAGAACAGGTGAGTGGGACACAGAGGGTGATAGCTAGAAGACAGAACCATTATTAATCCCATTATTTCAAGCCTGATCCGCTTCTAGTTGTCCAGCTCTCTAGACCAGCTTCTAGAGGAACCAAGTGTTCGACCAAGCTGCAGGTTCCCAGAAAGTAGCCTTATATCCAGTAGTCTCTCTCTATGTAGCCATGTCTCTCTCTTTTTCTCTCTTTCCTGGGGTAAATGTGTTTTTGTGCAGCCCTGCTTTGTTTTCATTCACTACATCACTGAGCTGTGATGTTATTCTCCCTCAGAACATTGATTAACTACTAGTTAAAATGATCCCAGGGGTTGTCATGTATTAAATCTAAATATTTTGTTACTGTTGCTCATCTGAATTTAATTCTGCAGTTTTTCCAAGTTTCCGATTCAGATATGAATGATTGTCTGAACTTGAGCGAACAGTGGTTTTGCATGCGCCTTGCACCTCATCACTCTTGTTAGATGTGATTTTAATCACTGTCACTGCAGGTATTTGCACGAGCGTTTCAGCCAACTACAAGAGGAGGTCAACCTGCTCAAATCAAACATCATGAAGTACAAGGTACAGATGGAACGTCTGTTCAAACGTAAAGCAGATTTTTCTCTTTTGGCTTATGAATCTTGACAAAAATCAAGTGGTTTAGTAAAATTTGTATGTGTATGTAAATGAGCCGAGTTCTATTTGAAATGCTGATCCAGCATGGCGGGGTGAGCTTTGTTTTTCCCTCTTCACAGACGGCTCTGGAGAGGAGGAAAAACTCGGGCACCTATGGGAAATCAAACAGCAGTCCCCTCACTGGAGTCCTCTCTGCCAAACAAGGTGGGAACACAAACACTTTGGATTCCATGTGAGCTCAGACATAGATAAATGTCTGCATCCGTCACTTTGGCTTCGGACTACGTCAGTTGGTGTTTGGTCAGATAAACTCTGGGACTCAGGCTGACAAATCGGTTTCATAAAGCACTTGTGTTTCTAGCTGCATCTTAATGCATGATTTACTGACTTTTTATTTGCTGAACCTTCAAGCCACCGCCTGGACACCAGCTGGGTTACTAATTATATTCAGAATGGTGGAGAGCACCACTGGCAGGGAAATGAGCCTGCTATGATGACTGACAGTGGCTGGCAGAAGCAGCACAGTGGGCTGTGGAGTTAAAGTTGAGAGTGTGTCACCTAGTCGGCAGCTGTTTCTAACTCCACCTCTGGCTTGCTCTTGTCATGCTGTTTTCCCCATCTCTCGTTACGTCACCCTGATCTCTCTGTTGGCTTGTTTTGTGAAAGTTTTCTACATGCATTTCTCTGTAGATTAGTATCCCACATATCCTCAGTTTATGAGATAGAAGTAGCTTTTCCCCTCCTCTTTGTTGTTCAGTTTTCTTTCTACCACTCAGCCTCTTACTGTATCTTCTCCACATTCTCCTCCCTCTGTCTGTTTTAGTCCAGGAGATGCTCCTGGAGGAGCAAGGCTGCAGCTTGCCAGCCACGCCTCAGTCGATCTCTGACCTCAAGTCCCTGGCCACGGCTCTGCTGGAGACCATCCATGAGAAGAATCTGGTCATCCAGCACCAGAGGCACACCAACAGGTACAGTGATGTCAGAGGAGGAGTGCTGTGCTCCTCTGCTGAAGGCAGAAAACACTGTTTTCTAAGGGTCAGCTTTTTAACTTCAGCCACCTGTCACACTTATGTTTGCCTACCTGCTCGAAGAATCCTGCTCCACCTCTAAGGCAAACACTGAGCTGTGACACACACACTGTTTGTCAGTCTGAAGAAACCTGACCCTTCTTGCTTGGTCTGCAGGATCCTGGGAAACCGTGTTGCGGATCTGGAAAAGAAGCTGAAGACCTTGGAGGTTTCAGGACTGTGGAGCCTTCCAGGTGGGTTTCAGGTGTTAAAGCTCCCACAAAGACACAAAGGAAATCATGTGTACTACACTGCTGTTTTCTTACTGAAGTCCTGAAATGATCCCTTTGTATCCCAACCTAACATCCAACTCAAACCAGTTATTAAACTACTCACCATTCATTCCAGTATACAGTATTCTCTTAATGAATCTTATTTCAAGTGGCACAGTAATTTATCATGAATACAAATGCACTAATTTGTCTTTAAAATCACCTTTTTCAGTCACTTTACATTTAGATGCATTTATTTCTGAGTGAACCAGCTAGAAAAAAAAAAGATATTTAAGAAAGCAAATGGAGCAAAGTGGGTTGAAATTACAGCTGCTGCTATAAAAATCATAATACAGTATATATGAATAGAAACTCTGTTCTGCACTCCAGTGATGCCATAAAACCTCCTGCAGATTTTGACCTGATTCATACGTAACACAGTACACTTACCACACCGTTGGCAAACATAACCATGTGTATTTTCCATACACGTAAATGTTTAAAAAATGCTGTAAATGTAAGATAAACCTTGCCACTGTTTGTCTCTGTATATTAATAATTTGCCGCATTTGAGATGAAAATGTCTTATTTGTCTTTATGAGTATAGAAAAATAAACCAAGCATCTTTTGTGTACTTGTTCTAGTTAGTCAACCAGTTAAAACGTATTGACCTTTTTCTTAATTTAAATACAGAAATGAGTTTTTAAGGTTGATAACAGTGCCTTTCTCTCCTCTCTGGCTGCGTCTCAGGCTTGACCTACCGCATATCTGTGGGAATTGGGAGTATGTATTCCTTCTGCCCCACTTAGCCCATCCATGCCCTTCACTGTGTCATGCCAGGACAAATCTGGGCAGACACCCAGAAAGCGTGTCACCTCATGCCCATCATTTACAACACGTCGACTTCACTGACCGCCCGCTCGTGTCTGTTCATGATACTGCTGACAGAATAGGCTGCCTGAATATCACACACTCATCCTTTTGGTCCAGTGGCTCCGTCTTAAATCTTACACTCGAGGGGGGGAGACTGTTTTTGAAGTGTTTTATGGGAGGGAGAGCACACCGCTGTTTTCTGAGTCCATTTTAAAATGTATTCACATTTAGCTGGAAGGAATTTGATTCAATCGTTTTCATGAAAACTGTCATATTATAGACAGATATATGTTTATAAAGAGGCAAGGCTTCCAACTGTGCCCCCCACTCCTTTTGCAGCTTGAACCAGGAGACAAGACTCCTCAAAAGCAGTTCCCCCTTATCCCCACTGGAGGGAGATGTTGTGCTGTGTGAGAACCTGACTGAGAGGTGGAGGGGCTGCGGCTGGATGGAGGTGCCCTGTCATGAGACCGTCATTCACACCGCCATAAAACTGACAAGCATCCATTACTGAAAATGATTGCCCACATTACAAACACATTTAGCGGAATGTGCCGTTATTAGGGAATTTGTAGGCGAAGGCCCAGAGTGCCTGACGACCACGCTGTCCACCACAGTTAGGGAGACAGAGATATATATAGAGAGAGAGAGAGATGTGTCTGCGGCCTTGACGTGATATGAAGTTGGGCTGATGGATATTAAAGGCAAATGGGATAGTATGGAGAGCCTTGGCTGCCTACCTGAGGCCTGGAAAACACTAGAGGTGACTGTTTTCTCTGGATGAGAGAGAGCCAAAAACAATGACATCGATGCAGTTACTCAGATAAAGCTGTGATTGATGGATCCCCCGGTCCAGCCCACCCCCACGCTGGATGAGTGCAAGCTGAAATGTAACATGGCAAGTGAAAGCCTGTCAGCACAGCAGCTAGTGAAAAGACAGAGGTGGATAGAGGATGCACCCGTATAGCTCTGTTGTGGTCCACTGACACTGTTTCCAGTTAAAAGGAAGGCATTTCCTGTCACCCTAGGGCTAGACGGTACTACATCCCAGTGTAGGATTTGATTGTGTGACTCTCCTCATCTTTTTGTGTCCTCATTTGTGATCTGGAGTTTGTGATTTGGTATGTTAAGGTATCAGCCCTGCTCTCTTTGCTGGACGGGTGCATATTCATGTACTGTTTGTTGTATGTGTGAGACAGATGTTTAGAAGGCCGGACAGGCAACTGCATTTTAGGGTTGAAAGCAAGTTGCAGGTGCTTCCTGCCACATCCTGTGAGATGCACTACTGTGTTCGGGCTGGGCCGTGCTCTGCATTCCTGATAACCAACACCACCTTATTATTGACTTTCAAAGGCAGTCTGCAGAACTCCTCTAAAGCCCCTCTCTCAAAATGTAGACTCTGCTTGGATGCGATGGCAAGGTCTTAAAGCTATAGGCCAGCTACTTGAGTTTAATGGAGATGTTTGCTCCTAGAGAACTGCTGACACTTTGATTGAAGTTGGGCACAAAGTTGAAAATTAAAACAACTATTCCCATCTAATCGATTTATCTATATTTCAGAAAATTAAATGGGAATGTCACTACTTCTGCAGGTATTAGGCCATAAACCAAAGTATTGGACATAGTGAAATTTTGGGAACCACCAAGGTTATTACATTTCTTCCCTGAGGGGACATGAATGTGTGTACCAAATTTCATGGCAGTCCATTTAATAGACGTCGAGACATTTCATTCAAAACCACAAATGTTAACGTGACGATGGTGCTAGAGGAGAAGTCAAGGGAACACCAAAGTCATGTCTGTACAGAGTTGCATGGCAATCCATCATATCACTGTGGAGATATTTCATTGTGGAGTCGGTCAATCCCTAGAGCCATGCCGCTAAAACACCAGCAAGGATTGATACATAATGACTGAAAGCGCTGTCTCAGGAACGGAAGTAAAGGAACTTTTTTAGATGACAACAACTTTGTTGCTTCTCTTGACACCTCCGTTGGCATGTGGAAAGCCTCAGGATCCAAAAAGCCCCCGCCCCACCCTCTCACTCACTGTTCACATGTCAGTGTAAGCGTCAAGTTGGACTGCATTCATATCAATCTGGTCTCTGTTCGCCATTTATTATTCTCATGCACTGTGTCGCCCACTCATCCATTTTCTCATTCTTCTGTTTGTTTTTGTGCCTCACACTCGAATGGTCAGAGAAACAGGCCGGGTTCTGCCTCTCCACAGGGTTTCTCTGAGGCAGAGGCTGATGTGCACACATACAGGCTTCGGTGTATTTCTGTGCATCTCAGTGCATATAGTTTTATAGTGTGTGTATTTGTGATGTCTAGTTTATAGTGCATGGTCTCCTATGAGTAGCATATGGTGTCAGCCTAAGAAGCATACAGCCATTACTAATGAAGACAGATGACAGCGAACTGAAGATACTTCCTGTAAGCACTGTGATGCATACGTGCATGTATTTTTGTATACTGTGTGAAAGCACACAGTATAGCTCCACTCATGTGCTGGGTGTGCTCCATCCAATCCTAACACACATCCAAACCTTGGGAAACTTTTCCTACCACTTTCTGTTGTCATTTGGATATGAAAGTAACAGCGAGTGGTTTTTCCCTGGTGGTGGTCTTACAGGGACTCAAGACAGCATCACACTGAATGAGAACCTTCAACCAGAACTTCATCCAACCCCTGCCACATTTCAACCAAACATCCAGCCTAGAGTGCAGGCCTCCCGAGGTGAGTGTGTACCTGGCTCCTCCAGCACACACAGTTAATGGTATAAACACTGTAATTAGCCACTGCGTGCTAAACACCGCTTGCTAGCGTCCATGCTTAACCCAAGTCCCTTCCCTTCCCACTTCACTCCTCTCTGCTTCTCATTGGTGCAAGCTGCCCAAATGCCATGGCATTTTGAAAATGTGAAGCAAATTCTTGCCTGCTGACATTCAGAGACTTCTGCTGTGTTCTCTTTGAAAGGGGATGGGGGACCATAAATATGGATGCCAGTTCAAGTAATGTTGCTTTCTTCCTGCGTATTTTTTGCGCGTGTGTGTGTGAAAGAAAAGGTGGCCGAGAGTCTATGTGCAGTCTTTAACCTTTTTGCCTGCACATCCACAAATATGGGTCAGTAATCCCCAAAGTGAGAGCATGTTTTGGCAGAAAGAAGTAGAACTAAGCTGTTGCTATTGCCGAGATGTGGGGCGTCACACTTGTCTTGCGTCCCCTTGTCTGGGGCACTGCTGCTATATTTAGCTTGTTGCCATGGAAGCACTTCAGTCGAATAAGTAATTGAAAGAACTTTCGATATTGACACAGTGCTCCAAGTTCAAAAGAGGAAAGTTTTTGTTGTGTGTGTGTGTGTGTGTGTGTGTGTGTGTGTGTCCATTGCATCACTTTTTATTTTTAATTCAATAACACTGGGGTTTAAAAGACACCCTAAATGATAAATGGAAGGGCGCAGCTCGTTGTCCTGAGAATCAACAGACCAAGGGCTTTTTCTTCTAAACTCCTTGTTTAAGTAGCAGAGCACTGTGACATCACCAAAGTCATCACTTTCAGTAGAAGAAAAGCACTAACAATAGAAATATTATTGACAGATGACCCCATAATGACAATAATCATTAACTGCTGCCCTAAAGAGTAGTGCTCATAGCTGTAGTACTAGGAATCATTGTAGTTCTAGCTAGCCAATGGAAATTCCAAAACAAATATTTGTTTTTGCTCATTAATCGTGCTATTGTTGACGGCCAACAAAATCAGAAGTATTTCAAAAGAACCTTGTAGAGACAAAGAATGCTGTTGGTACTTCTTCTCTGATGGCTTCAGATCAAGTGAGCAATTAAAGTGACCAGTTGTCTCATCTTCCGTGTCCCATTTGTGTCAGACGACAGAGGTTCACATGAATCACCATGGGAGTGCCACACCACTGGCAGCGACCTTGGCACAGATGGCCTCAGTGTGGGAGACACACCTGCACTGCTCAACAACCTGGACCCTCTAGTGGGGGTGGAGACGAATGGGATTGACAGGAGAGGAAGGGACATAGTGACCCTGACGGAAGATCGAGCTGCCTTCCAGCTGGAGGAGGGGCGGAGTCCAGTGGAAGAGGCTGGGCATGAGGTGGAAGGAGCTGAAGATGAAGAACTGGGTTGCACAGTGGAGGAAGGAGAAGAGGCGGCCTTGGCGCTGGATGTGCCGCCCGCTGCATCAGACCTTCCATGGCTTTCAGTTAAACAGCCCTTTGTCGATCAATCAGACATGGGTCATCAGCCCTGTGAGTCCCAGGATGATGGCTTTGATGGCGTACCTGAACATGTAGAAGCTTCTGTATCAGTTCCAGAGAAGCAGGCCACAGATGTGTCGGGGGCAGGGGAGTGGGATGTTCACTGTGCATCTCAGCAGAGTGACACCTGCCATAGTGACAACTTGGCATGATCTGACATCCCTGAAAGCCTTGAAGCTTATTTAAATCCTTGTTGTTCTCGTTGATGACTGCATTTACCACTCCTGGGCTGCTTTCTCGCAACATAAGCAGTGCTCACTGCTTCCCTTTGCCCCTGACAGCTCTGTTTTAGTCAATACAACAGATAAAACACTTTGCAGGCTCCACGGACAGAAGTACACTTGGTAGGTAGACAGGCTTGCTGCTGTGCAGGAACAATCTTGTTGCAAACTTCATGCCTTACAGGAAGAATTTAGCAAGCAAAATAAGAAATATGGCAGCGCCAACCCCCGTGCCCTATATTCCCTTCTTCTTTCCCCTGCCATAAATTAATCCAAGTTGTTTGCTTTCTTCTTCCTCTTCCTAAGGGATGCCACTGAAGTGAGTGCTGCATTTCATTGGTACTCTCACAAGGGTCCACATTTTCACATTTGCTATCCATAACTTGCAATGAGCAGGTTGTACATTTATGTAAATGAATAACATTAATAATAGAGATTGATTTCTGTTTATATGTATGGGTGAATCTGTTTTCTCTTATTTACAACCTCAAATCAGACAAAGTTGGAACAGTATGTAAAATTAAAACTGAAAATAGTAATATGTAAATCATCTGTGTCGTGTATTACATTGAAAACAATACAGCAGTGATACCTCATTATTTTGAACAAAGAATAAAATGAAACACTCATTTCATTTCTGATGCCTGCATCACATTCCAAAAAAGCATGTACCACGTTGTGATGTTGTTGTTCCTTTTCACAACACTTAACAGATGTTTAAAGACTGAGGACACCTAGTGATTAAATGTGTCAGGTGTCATTGTGTCCCATTCCTCCTGCAGACAAGTCTTAAAGTGCACAACAGTCCTGGGTGTTTGTCGACGCAATCTGTGTTTCAAAATGCACCACACGTTCTCTACTGAGGACAGGTGGGGACTGCAGGCAGGCCAGTCCCTCACTCGCACCCTTTTCCTCCACAGCCATGCTGTCACTATTTTCAGTTTTAATTTTACATACCATCCCAACTTTGTCTGATGTGGGGTTGCAGGAGGTGATATTTGAGACTACATGTGCCTTAACTGTGGAAACATTTACTGATATTTATGCATATAAATGCAAAAACCTGCACTGTTATTGGTTGTTATTTTTCTTCCCAGCAAGAGTTCTTGTACTGTCAGCTGTCATGGAAGATAAGCAACTTATATGTCACAAAAATTATCTGTGCCTAGCAAGCAAGGAAGCAATCTTTATTTATATAGTACCTATCTAAACAAATGTTACAAAGTACTTTACAGAATTGAAAAGGAAAATAAATGCAACAAAAAGAAACCAATACACATAAAGCTAGAAACCTAAGAACCTTATTCAGCACCGGTGTCGAAAGCCTTAGACATTAAATAGATGTTTAGTAATGAGCAAAAGGTGGCCTGGTTTGGTGCAGATCAAATGGAATACGGGAGGATGTTCCATGGTCTAGCAGCCGCTACAGCCAATCACCCCATCTTTTTAAAATTTGATCTCCGTACCTTTAGGAGCAACTGATTTGATGACCATAATGAGCGAGGATACGAAGTAGTACAAGTCCATGCAGAGCTTTTAAAAACAAACAGTAGTTTAAAATCAATCCTTTGTTGGACAGGAAAGCAGTGAGGTGAAGCCAGAACCGGGGAAATATGTTAACGTTTGTGAGAAGACGAGCTGCAGCGTTCTGAACCAGCTGAAGTCTGGATAGAAATGTTTGAGGTAAACCAAAAGTAGCTGAGATGGCTAAAATTTGTTGCTAAAAAGTACTATTTTAACTGATTAAAATAGCTCAAATGAAAGCCAAAAATTAATAGTACATAATTGGAATGCTAAATGTAAAATCTAACATCTAAAGCTAGTAGATGAACTGTTGAAATAAACAGCTAAAGTTATGAATCAGTGGTAAACATATCCAGCTTCTGGCAGTTGAAGTGGTAGAAATACAAATATGCATCATGGTCATGATGGCACTAGATGTACATCTGACAAAATAAGGTTGGGGGCCACTGGTCTAGTGACTTTGAAAGTTTATTTTTATCGGCTCCTTCCTTAAGCTAGAAACCACACAAGCAGCAAACCTGATCAAAAGTTCAACTGACACAGAGGTTGACTTTGTGAACTTGGTGTAATATGTATTTGAGATTTCACACACTGAGCTTTGTTTGATGGTAATGTTCTCAACCAGAAAATGAACCTATATCCGCAGAAAATCACTCTGACTAACGTCTAAGTGCTCGCAAGGTTGGTCTCTCAGTCATTTAAATGCACCAGCTTCAATCTCTGATTGTTTTACAGATTAGAGTCGATTAACGTGATTCTCATCCCCTCCAGCCTTGGGAGAGAATTGTTCTGGCATTGCAGAAACATTCAAATGCTATTATTTTAAGCTGAATTGACATTGAGCTTTGGAAAGATACATTTCCCATGTACATGCTTGTATTATTTTCCGTTGTTTTGCATTCATGTCCGAAGATGTTTTGGTAGATACGCCAAAACATGAATATGACTGTATAAGTTAAAGAAAGAGACGCCAAAGTTTTCTAGCACTGTAAAATGGATGCACAGACACACTCATTCTGTCTTGCAGCCAAACTCCAGAGCCCACTGTGTATTAAGAATCAGTGATGAAGCCTATTCTTCCTGCATGCAGGTGACAGCTGGCCTCTCCAGGCAAACGCAGCGTCAAAGCCAGAATCCATGAACTGCTTATTCTGCAGAAGGCCACTTGCTATTTTTAATCTCACACAAAATAGAGAAGAAGAGAGGGAAAGAATTCAAGCTAGGGAGCCGTGGTGTGTACCCAGTATCGGCCCTGTGCCAGGCAGCTGATTTGGCACGCTGCAGCAGGCCTTTTTTTCCCACTGAGTTTTAAGTTCATAAACCAGATGGAATCTGAACTAATGAAATTGCAAGATGATAGCAGCTTGCCATTGGGTTGCTCATAAACACGATGACCAATTTTTGATTTTCTTTGCATGCATATGAATGCCTTAAAGGAATTAGTGTGCTTTGCATATCTTAAAAAAAAGTTGAAATGCATTGTCTGACTGAGGGAAGACGTGACTGTGGAAGAAGCGAGCCACAGTGGCTGCTCTTATGGAGACGTCTGACGTCTGACATGGATTGAAGTTGACAGTATTCTTTTTATCTGTCCTGCCTTGGGTTCCTAAACCATTAGCCTTCACTTTAATCATTCCCTTCAAGGCTTTTTCACTGTGTCACATTCAATTGCAACTTGGTTTTCATAAAAATTTAAAGAACATTCTGGTGAAATATTTCAGCAGGTTTGAAAAAGTAGCTGTGGCCGTGAATAATTCAAGGATGACTCGAAACAAGAGCTAATACTGTATATCAGCAGGTATTTGCTTATGATACAGTATGTCAGTGTTGGTTTATATATAAGAATAAAAAGGAACTGCAGTACAGAAATGCAGAGCATATTTGAGGTCTTTTAGAAACAGTGTCGCTATTAGTTTGTGCACCAGAGAGCTTTCAACTCCAAACTGTCCACTTATTATATACAGTGCTGTAGTCATAATGCACTGATTAACTTTATTAGCACCTTGGCACAGCTTTACTGCTTTAAATGTGTTATATAGCTAAACTTTACTATTATTATTATTATTACTTCATCTTGTATAACCACAAAAACATCCAACATACTGTAGATATACTGTATGTGCTTCTACCTGCTGAAGATTCATCAGAGATGTTGCCCCTCTGTGTGACTCTGATCAGCCAGTATCTGGCTCAAGGATTCAGGCTTCCTCCTCAGCAACTAGTCCATGCCAAAAACTAATCTAAGCCCCTTACCTGTGACGGCGACATCTCCCCATGAGAGGATAAGTGAAAAAGTGCTCGAGTTGGCCCCGTGCTGCTTGGATCGCCCAGGTGTGTGTTTGCCTCTCTGTATTTGTGCTTGAAAGAGAGATCAAAGGAGGAATCATTTGTATGTGTGTGCATGTCTGTTCGGTGATTATTATACCTTTGTACTCAGCTGCTCCCCTTTTGTGTTGTAGATGCTGAGAGGGGTTGTACCATATCATATATAGTGCTAATCTCATCACTATCAGCTTGCTTTGTTCTGGTCCCTAGCCTGGTGCTTATCCCACCCTGGAGCCTGGGTAGCAGGAGAGCCTAGCCAGGTCACAGTAATGCTCGCCGGCTCTAATAAGTGTGACCAGGGAGGCAGGGGGCTGCTGAGTGTATGACACCCCATCATCTCTGAGTCCTCCAAAGGTTTGAGGGATGGGGGTGAACAGGTGCGAGGAGCCAGTAGTTTCCAGGCCAACCACTCAGCAGGGTTAATTACTATACCAACCAGGTGCCCCTTCCAGTGATGGTCAGTGCCCTTGTGACCCATGCTTCATTCGCTCACCTTGTTTTTTTACGCTTACCTGAGCTTTATCACGTGGTGCTGCTGAGACACTTGAGTTTGCTCTCCGGGTGCTGCGATTTGAGGAGTGTAACTTTCTGCTCCATCGCTGACAAGGCTGCTATTATCTGAGATAATAGAGGAAAGAAAAAACAGGGAAAATATGTCAGTCATCTTTTTCCTGCTTGTTTCATGTGGAGTTAATAATTCTAATGTATCATAGATATGATATGCATAACTGCATCATTTGCTTGGTTTGTACTTTAATATAGACTTGGTATCTCTGTATTTAATGTGTGCATTTCCTTATCACTTTAGCTGTCAAATATCAATATGGTATTGTCAGCTGCAGACAGGTTAACTGTGTCAGCTTAAACCTCTACTGCAGTATAGGCCATATAGCCTATAGTCATATATTGTCCTCCCACATGGACTTTACATTCCTTACAAGGTTTTGATTGTTGATTGATTTTTATGTCTTATTTAAACAGCTTTAAATTAAATTGTCATTGTGGGAGTTGCAATTATTAGCTTAGTGAGAATCAGAGGAGAAGATCAGTGCCACTCTCATGCCTGTGTGCTTAATATGAAGCTCATAGTTTAGCTTAGCATAAAGACTGGACAAGGGGGGTAAATCACCCTGCTGCCACCTAAGGTCTATCACCTGTGACCTGCCTCAGTACTTTCCACATTTCCTGGAGGCAAAGTTGAAGGTGACTGCAACAACAATAATATGGCCACCAAGGCCTTGCTAGGGAAGCAAGGCAAGCAAAGTCACAGGATGTTGGAGGGCCAGGAGTTTGCAAACAGTCGATAAGCAGAAAGGCCACGCCGGGGGTCAGAGTGTAGACCAGCATACAGTTTGATCTCTATTAAGATAGATGATGGTGGGATGGTGGGCCAGTGTGATAAGAGTTGACAGGACCTGGTGATGTGATATCAGTGATGGCGACTGTCCCCCACCCAGCAGGGGAATATGGGTTGGGCTGAGCTTGTTCTCTGTGATGGGATAATGAGGTAGTCCTCTATTCTGAATCAGATTTCACAGTATTTTGGCAATTCCAGAAATATTCTTAACATTCAGATTTTAACTTGAGAGGATGTACAGTTAGAGTTAAAGCAATCCCTTCATTATGTAATTTTGCCAAGCTGTTGCAAAGCACAAGGTATTAATGAAAGAAATCCTTCA